TCATAGATCTATTTCCCCATCCTCATATAATATATTTGTATATGTACATGTCTTTATCTAGAGCTCTATAAATACCCTTTGCCTCCCAGTATCCAAATTCTTACAAATCAAAAAATAATTTTTTAAAAAGTGAAGGGTTACATAGAGAAGCTAGTGTCCATTTAAATAATCCCTCCCTTGTGCTGGCTTTGGAAGAAAAGCCTGCCTAGTGTAAGCTCCTACTAGCCCCAGAGACTCAGAAGGAGAGAGGCAATGTTTATCCTCTCTACATCCTGAAAAGAATTTCTCTCTCTTCCAGAAAGTGGAAGTCGGTCAGGGCAGGGGACACAACAACATCCTATGAGAGATACGAGAATTCACTCACTTCCAGAAATGGGAGACGGACAGCAGTATTTCCCATAAAGGAAATGTTGACTCAAAGGCACTGGGTAATAATTATGCTTTGCTTAATGGAATCTGGCTTCGAGACCCAGTACCACCAACCGCGCTATGCAAGACCCAACTCCTGTTTGCCAATGCTTTCCATGCAGCAGAACTTTTGCCAGCAGCAGCCACAGTATGGAAGAAAGAGCTAGTCTTGGCATCAGAAACGTGGACTTGATCCCAGCTTCCGCAATAAAATAAGTTATCATTCCCTCACCCCAAACCCAGCAGATGGCTTGGAGGGAACAAAATCCTTGTTAGATAACAGGAGTTCTGTTTACGTATTCCTTTTGTGTTAAAGCAAAATATTTTCTCTGTTGAATCTACGTGATATACAAATATCCCATCATAAGCCAACCAAGCCATGTCTGCCTCATCGTCTAAATGCCTAAATATTCTTGGAGTGACTTCTACACGCGCTGTCAGAAAATTCACGTTCTTCACATTGGCTGCTTGGGGCAGCCCTTGGGGGTCGATGCGTTTGAGGCTGTTTATTTTATGCTCCTTTGTCAGATGAGGAAATTGAAATGTAGGAAGTGACAATCTCGTGCCCACAGTTAGATGCTAAGGGAAAGAGCAGGGACACGACCCGCAGGCCCGTGTTAGGAAAGACTTTGCTAGACTGCTGCCTGGGAAAGGCAGCGGTAGAGTTTACTAGATAAGCATACGTGCATCTCTTGGTGACCCATTCCACACTCTTTCTGTGGGACTTGGGTGAAGTGTTGTGACCAAGCACTTTCAGCGGTTCAAAGCTCACCTCCGGAACCAGAGAATCTGTTTCTCCAGCCAGTTCAAGCCAAACTAAATCCACTGGCATCAAGTAGATTCTGACTTCCATCAACATGGAAAGCCAGAGGAAAACTGCTCTGTTGGATTTCTGAGGCTGTAAAACTCGACAAGAGCAAATAGTCTCATCTTCGTCCTCGGGGCAGCTGGTGGGCTCGAACCACCAACCTGACATTAGCAGCCCAACACCTATCCCAGCACGGCCCCCCGGCTCCTTGTCAGTAAGAAACTCCACAATAAGCATCCTCAACAAAAAGGTAAAAAGAGGAGCCCTCACTACCCAGTGCTAGAAGCTCATATTTTCCCTGTAAGCTAGGTTATCATAATATAAACTAAAGAAGAGAAAAGAAATTGTTTCATTTGAATCACCGTTGTAATTGGGTAATAAACGCAGCTCTGGCCTGAGTCCATTCGAAGGTTGCAAAAGCAAATTAGCATAGAGTTTGATACCTGTGAACTGGGCTTATGGGAGAAAAAATTTTGGACAGTTTTGTTGACATTTAATTCACATACTACACAATTCAATGCTTTGAAGAAGAAAATCGAAAGACTTAAGAACATAACAATATGCGATTTAGGGAGAGAAAGGAAGTTTTTGTTTTTTGTTTTTAATGAGGTGGGAGGGGGATATAAAAAAACACAAACTTGACTATCATGCACCAAAATCATGATTACTGAATGTCAGAGTTAAGATGTTTTACGTTCTTCTTTATACTTCTCTGTATTTTTCAATTTGTCTATATTAGCAGAATCATGGGGTGGGGTGGGGAATGAGAAGTTTGCTTTAGACAGCATCTGTCTGCAGTTACAGTTACTGATGCAGAGATCCAAAGTACAACATCATGTTCATTGACAAAGCGTATGACTCAAAGCTCACCCTGGCACACCCAGATAGGTGCAGTTGGCACAAGGGAAACAAATAGCACTTCCGTTGGTGAACTCTCAGACTCAAGAATTGGTGGGGCGGGGTGGGGAGTGCTCAAACTGGAACCCATCAGTTTCAAGTCCAGAAAGAATAATTGTGTCCATAAGCTAAAGTGCAATAAGAAAATTCCAGATTTCACCCTCACCTCATTGAGAAATCCAATTACACAGACAACCATGTGACTAGGGCACGGCTTCAGAAGACTTACCATTGCCCTACAGGAGGACCCATCGTGCTTGCCTACCTTCAATCCATTCACTGTAAGCAGTCACAGCAAACTTCTGGCCATCCAAGGTATAAAATTCTCCTTGGGCAAGAGCCTTCCCTCCACTACTATGATTTTCATAGTTCCTCACAGATTCATTGCAAGACGCACTGCCACCATCAATGACGCCAACTAGCGCCCACGCCTGCCTAAAAGGAAAAAGATCATGTGCACTTAATTATGTGTCATGATACAGAGCCAAACCACGGACACGGATGTCATGGTAGGTGCCGCTGCAGTTTCCAAACTCATTGTTGTCCGTGGCTACCACCTTTTTCAAGCTTCCCCACCTCTGAGCAACCAGCATCGCACAAGGAAATGCACCCCCAAATACTTGCCAGTCGAGCTTGGTAGCACCAGTGACTTCACCTTCGATTACTCAGCGCTTCCTCCATGCACGCCCATCTTATTCACACATAATTCTGGCCCCAGATCAAGTTCGTTGTCTTACTTTTAAGTGATGATCACCTGCGTGCTTTTGAGTTTAACTGCACAATAAAATCACCCAGGGAGCGTACAACCAGTATCAGTCGTAGGGCACCTGGTACCTTAAAGGCGAGGTAAACACCGGCTTACTTGTGTTCACTTAGCTACTCCTACTTAGTAATTCGCCGGTGAGAAACCTGAGCCTGTTTACTACTGTTTCGTAAACAAGTACAAGGAAGCTTATGTTTACCTGGCTGACTGGTTAGTTACTCTGTCTCTGATTCTGGAGGCAGGGGCTGCGGGATTTGCAGAGAGGTAGCCACACGCAGAAGCAGAATTGGCGATTTGTTGACAACATGTGAAATTGTTCGCCTCAGCTTAGTCAAGTAAGATTTGTTAGAGAATGCCACCTGGCTAAGAACCGGGAGCTCATAATTGTTACGTGTGAGGCCCAGCATTGGTATGTGTTCTAATCTACCCACGTGATACAAATGTGCTCTCAAAACACAGGGAGTTCCTGAGTTAAAAGCAGTGATTTAAAATGGGCATCGGTATCACCTGGAGGATTCAAGCGATTGCTGGTCCCACCCTTGAGGTTCTGAGGTGGGGCTTGACAATTGTCATTTCTCAGTAGGACCCAGGTAATGCTGATGTGTCTGGGTGGGGGCCACCCCTTTGAGAAGCCCTGAATTCAATTAAACATTAGAGCAGTAGTTTTCAACCTTCACTGGTCTTTAGTAGTATTGGGGACCAACCTCCCTCTGACCCCCAGATCCTAATGGTCTAAAGTGAGGCCGTGGAACTGAATTTTTTAAGTCTCCCAGGTTGCCACCAAGCCAAAGACAAACAATATATACCAGGTTTCGTAAATGCTCTTAAACCGAAGCTATAAAATCATTACCTCAAAGATTTTACTTTCACATGCTAGATGTTTACTTACTGAGAGCAATGTGGTTGAAACATCCTTTTATTAATGTGACGCTACACATTCCAGAGACTTGTTCTAGTTTGTGGTCAAGTCAATCAATGAGAAAGGGTAATGATAAAAAGCCACATAATTTGCCTTAAATGTCCTGGTTTAAAATATGAGAAGAAAAAGATCAACTTTCTAGTCTAGGGAAAACTGCAAGTGTAATCTTGCCAGACAGATGAATGGATGTGCGTAGATAAAAGTCAACCGAAGCATGCCTACACTCATCAATTCCACACCCTCTCCCTGTGTGGATTCACTACCCTTTAGCATTTATAGCCCTTTACATAACAGGGGTGGGGGAGCAAATGGAACATGTCTCAATTTATTAACTTCTATTTGAGAGGGAAGGAGCGGCTGAATATGAGAGGCGGCTTTCATTTACCAGAGCTGCCTCAGCGATTATAAGACAATGTTCTACTCTGTTGACATGCCCTCCAAACACTCCTACTTCCCCTCCTCCACTTGCGAGAAACGGGAATGCACTAGAACATGATCTTCAAAGGCTGCACATTACACTGGAGGTAATGCCGATGCAATCGGAACATCAGCAAAGGATCGTGACCCTTTTTAGTTCCTCCCTCAAATCTGCGACAATGTTTTCAAAGGAATTTTTTAAACCAGTAGGAGGAGAAACCAAAGAAGACATTCCAATACAATATTCACAGCTCGTGATTCAAAAGAAAACAATAAAAACTAGAAACATTAAATGCACAGACACAAAACTTAATCCTTGACATGACTGGGTAAGGAAATAAAGTTAGGTCTCTTTAAATTAAAAATGATGATGCTTCTCTTTCTAGTATGGGAAGAGTAGCTAAAGTATAGAAATAGATGAATACTTTTGCACCAAGAAATGGGTTAAAAAAAGAGAGGAGTATTTTTTTACAATAGGTCCAAGATGACAAGACAACTCAAATTATAGCAGTAAATTAAGTGTACTGTAATCATGCAATAGAAAACACACAGCACTGAAAATGAGGACGCACCGCAGGCAGCTACATGACGGATACGACATAAGATAGCATTAAGCAGAGAAGCCAGATATAAAATATTATATATTCTGTGACTCTATTTCTATCAAGTTCAAAAGCAGGCACATCTACGCTACAGTGTCTTTCCTTCCATTCTGGGGAGTGGTGTCCTTCGTAAGGAAGGAAGCGATCAGTGCATAGGAAGAGACAGAGAGGGGCTTCTGGGTCGATGTAAGTTCTATTTTCTCGAGTTCGGCGGTGGCTACACAAAGGTCACATCGTGACATCTCATGGAGCGATAAATTCATGTTTCTGTCTCTTGATGCATGTCCTACTTCCTAATAATGAAAAATGTTTTTAAAATGTTCCACACATCTGACGTTTAGTACGTCATCCCCTCTGTCTGGGGAGCTTTCCTTCTCTGTCTACGTCCCACATTCCCTAACTTCCTTCAGGCCTCCCACCTTTGGGAAACGCTCAATTCAGGGGCTCCTTCAATTTACATTCCCGACTACAGCCTGTAGCTGAAGCAAGTACCACCTTTGGAAAACTCCAATGATTCGCTCGGCCAAAGTTAGGGGCTCCTTCTAGCTACATTCCCACCATAGCCTATAGCAGTGGCAAGCATGATCCTCATCTACTACATCGAAAGGTCTATTTATCCTCTAGACTCAAGTCATTTAGGGCTCAAAGATGGTTGTCTTTAGGTTGTCACTTGGGGCTCAAAGATCTCACTACAACATCTAGAGCAGGGGTCCTCAAACTTTTTAAACAGGGGGCCAGTTCACTGTCCTTCAGACCATTGGAGGGCCAGACTATAGTTTTAAAAAAACTATGAATAAATACAAATTCCTATGCACACTGCACATATCTTATTTTGAAGTAAAAAAACACAAATGGGGCAAAAACACCCGGCGGGCTGGATAAATGTCCTCAGTGGGCCGCATGTGGCCCACGGGCTGTAGTTTGAGGACCCCTGATCTAGAGTCACTCGGACTTAAAACTCCCCAACTCATTGCCATCAAGTTCATTCGGACCCACAGTGACCCTACAGAACAGCATAGAACGAACTGCCTCCGTGGGTGTCAGAGGCTACAAATCCTTATGGGAAGAGAAAACCTCATCTTTCTCCCATGGAGCGGTTGGTGGTATCGAACTGCGGACCTTGTGGTTAGTAGCCCACTGTGTAACCCACTGGGGTCACCAGGTGTCCTGCATCAGCACTTAGCATTTCCTCAATATCCCTGGGTATTGACATTTAAAATCAAGATGGGATCTCTTTCTTCACTATATCTGTCTCTCCAACTTTCTTTAGGACTTCGGTAGATAATGTTCAATTCCAACAATCTACCCATTAAAGAAAAAAAGTTTGTGTTTAATTACTTGTTGAGCCAACTACTTCCACAAACTCAAGACTGACTGCAAGCAAAACTCCGGTGGACTAGAATGTAGCTCAAGAACCATGACCCTTCTTCTCTGAATTGAGTTCTACTCTCTGGATGGATTTCCTAGATTTCTCTTTCCTCGCATAGCCTGGGACTCTAGAGATTTGCATCAATAATCTATTCTGGGGTCTTCTGCTCAACAAGCAGATTTTAATTAGTGTGCAAAGGCTTCAGAAGAAAGAAAAACCGCTTATTCCACCCCCTAACTTTCTACCCTCACCCCTGCTACATTTTAAGACAGGTTTCCAATCTTAGAACAGAATTGTGCCCCAACATTTCAACCCGTGACGGGCCTCAGCTACTCCGAGTTTCGCATTTCCTTCAGAAGAGGAACTATCTTCAGAAGCAAACTGTTCTTCAGCTGCATGACTGCTTTTCAATACCACATGTGTTTTTAACCTCACCAGCCTGACAGTACAGTGTGCAAAGGAAGTCATACACCAAAGCCCAGGGCTGTTGCATCCCATACCCTGGCCCACGATCCGGTTTCAAAGCAAGAGGCAACCTATCCTTCATGTAGCTGTAGCCAGACCGACACCTGTGTGGTGTGGTGCTGTGCTGTGCCGTCTTTGTGCCCTCACCGCTCTCTCTCCTCCAGCCAGGGGCTCCATACACGGTTGACAAGGGAAAGGGAAACGTATGCCTACCTGTAGCTCAGCCCTTGGATCAGCTTACTCCCCAGCCTGTCCTGGATCATCTGGATAGTTCCTTGCAAGAGGTTTTTAGCTGCTGAATCTCCAACCGCTATAGCAACAATCCGCCCTGGCTCCTGGACTCGCAAAAATTCCTGAAGGCGCTTGCTCTCATTTTGGTATTCATGAGTATCAAACCTTTCGATGTCCAAAATGTTGGCCGTGTCTTGGTCAATGACCCTCACGTTGAGGCCCCGCGAAAAGTCCTTCTTGAAGGCATAGGACTCAAACGTCAAGCCTGAGAAATGCAGAGTCCTTGCTAAGAAGGTCCAGGATGTCTTCTGGGCCCCGTGCACCTCCAGTGTCCCTCCAGCCTCCACACCAATAAATTTTCTGCCAAATGTTGGCACACTTTCCCCTTCCTCTGACTTGCCGTACAAGGTAATCGTTGCTTTGGATTTGTAGCGGCATTTCTCTGCTCCAATATGAAGCGCCCCACCATCCTTCATCAGGATGTAACGAGTCCTCAAAGTAATATTTCTGGATCCATCTTTATCATCCCCAAATACGAGCAGTCCTGCAGGGAACAACACTATTGTGTGAGCCGCCTTTTAAAACACTTTGTAAATAAAAGTGGATGTCACCTTCAGCCGGGGGTGGGGTGGAAATGGTCTTTTTACTAAGCATCTACTGAGATAATCAAACTGCTTTCCAACAAGGGAGGAAATAGAGTAAGAGAAGGAAAAAATTAAAAAGAAGATGTCACATCTCATCTGAATACATTAAAAGAAGTAGTCGTGTAAATGAATGTCAATCTACTTGAAATACAAGGTTTTGAAGTCATCTTACTTTTCACTGTAGATAATCGCAAACTTTATAAGAATATTAAGAAATCAAAGTTTTTCTGTTAATTAAATAGTAAGCCATCTATTTCCCCAGACTCAGGACGACCTAAAGAAATCATAGCTAAAAGGAATGTGACACAAGCCCTGTCAGTGGATTCTTTATTCATGGGAAATAAGTGTCCTCTTCATTTTGGAAGTGAGTTAATTCTAGAAAAATATCTCATAGCATCCCAATCTGAAGCTCATTTTCTTATGTTAGCTCGTGTTAAGATTCTCATCATTCTCCATCAGGTGTAAACATGATCTGGATACGAGATAGCACTTGTACTCCTCTATGCAAAGGTCGAGCAGTAATTTCTAAAGTCCATCTAATCTACGCTCTTGAATCTCTAAGGTTCTAACCTCAGGCTTCTCACATCTCACATCTAAGCAACCTAGACGTTTCTTAGTTACACAACTGTTTTCTTCGCAAAAATACATCCAACGTCTCCCACGTTAAGGAATAACCTTTTGGTCTCTCGGGCTAGGAACCAGTACGCACCTCCATCCTGAATGACAATTGATCGCACGGTGGCATCGGAGGTCAGGCGGAACATATCTCCCCGCTTGATGACAACTTGCTTGGCAGCATCTTGTCCTGGATCCCAGTTCCTGAGTTGGGGATTTTGATCTGGGCAATTCTCTGTGACGCAATGCAACAGCAACATCCCATCAGATCCAGAAACATGCCAGACAACCGTTTGCTAAATGCAAAATATTACTATCCCTTAAAATCTAGAGATCTTTAAGGAACTCCAAGCCTGCCATCACTCAGGAGCTTGAGATCTGCAAGGACCATGCTAGCACACTTTTATTTCTTGCCATTCAAATGGAAATCAGAGGCAGCTCCACCTAGTAAAGCAGCAGCCAATAGTTTACATCCTCAACACATTAAAGAAAAGGTTCACTACAAAACCCATCTACTTGGATCAAATTTCACAAAATAAAACCAGAGTTCCTGTGAGCCCTCTAGGCTTTAGAAAAACCAGCGAGAAACAGTAAGATTACCAAGTGCCCTTGGAGTCACCCTGGAAAGCTGTGTTAGGGGAAAAGAAAGAAAAACTCATTACAACCTGGCAAATTTTAAAAATGTAAATTACTTAACGGTACACGTATTCCAAACCCAAGACCACACCTGTTGAGTCCATTCCAAGTCATAGCGAGCCAAGATAGGGTTTCGGAGGCTGCAAATCCTTAGGGACACAAACACCCTCATCTTTCTCCCAGAGAGCAGCTGGTGGCTTTGAACTGCCAGCCTTCGGGTAGCAGCTTAACACTTACCCCCCAGCATCACCTGAGCTCCCTGTGTACATTAGGTCCTCATATAAAAACCATACATGCACATACATGCCCATGTTTAACGCTGGAAGAAAGATGTGGCGTTTTCTTTTTAGCCCAATTTTAAATTGTTTTTAAGCAAAACAATAATAATCTGGGAATTCATGTGACAGGGACTACTTGGTCCTTTCAGGAAGATCGTCCTGATACTTTGGTACCCACATAATCTAGGCAAGAGAGCAGAAAAGGCCATCCTGGCAAGCACAACAAAGAAAGAAAACTGCTAGGACAGATGGCTAACTGGACTTAGTGCCAAGAAACCTAGCAAAGTCCAAGTTCACTCCAGTGACCACCCATGGGACAATATGCAAAAATACACACACGTAAAAATTGACCATTTTAGTATTGAAGGAAGGACTACCATCATTCAAAGAAACATGAGAACGATCGGGGATATTTTAAAAGTTTAAAATTGGATATCAAGATATTTGTTTGCTTTTAAGAACAAAATTGGTTCCACTTGAGAAAGTCTTCCTTTGGAGTACCACAAAAAGTCCCATTCTTGTCCTCACTTCAGTAGAATCCAGAGTGAGGCACTTAACCTGCCGAGCAGTGGAGCCTTTTGTATTTCAAGGCAATATGTTTTCCTTGCAACCCATTGTACGTTATGCATTTAAAAAAAAATCCTTCTGGTTGGAACCCGGGCATGACCAGATGGCCACAGAAAAAGCTGCCACTCCAGGGAGCCCCACGATCAACCCGTCCTGTCATCAGTCCCGGGAAGAATGGAGCGGAGCAGGTGCACCAGCCCCTTGCCATAGAGAAGCATGAGGCAGCAGACGAGAGCGTGCAGTGTGCCACCTCTCCCTTTGAAGGGAAGAGGCTGATAAGGACCGCTGTCTTCCGACACGTACACTTTCCCCACACGACTGTGGCTTCTCGTTTTCAGAAATGGGGAAACTACAGATTAGAGAAGCCAAACTCAAGACGGCTCAGCAAGCTGAATAAGGAAGTTCCCGCTGTGGACTGAGGCTCTTCCCTTGTGGTGTTCCGTTTAGAGAATCCAAATTTGCCTCTGGAAGACAGGTGAACATGAAAAGTTACCCCACCAGCACCGCGCTTTAGATGATGCATAAGCCCATGGGTTTTGCCACCACTCGTTTTTTTATCTGCCATCGTTTGGAAGGAGGAGCGGGGAATCATCTCTTCAGTGTTGATGAAAGAGTCTTTTTTGAGGAGGAACTGATCCACTTTGCACCAAGTGTTGTACATTTTAAGAATGACAGGATGACATGCAGGGAGACGGCCATCAACTATTAATGGTCAGCAGGGGCTGAGAGGCTAGGGGGTTACTGAGCAGGGCTACCAGTGGAGTTGCTGTTCGAGGGTAAGAGAAAACATGCAGAAATGAATAGTGGGCTAAATAACATGGGGGAAAGTCATAAAGGTCCCCAAACTTTGAATTTTAAAATGGCTAAAATGCAAAATGTTTAGTTGTCTAGACTGACAAGCTAACATTCAAAGTAGCTTAGGATAAAGAGCCCAGGAGGCAGGAATAATTGAGGTGCTTCGTGAAAGAGGTGATCTGTCACCTCCTGGCCCCATAAAAACAAACCAACGAATTCACTCCTTCACTGCCATCAAGTCCACTCTGGCTCACGGTGGCCCCAGAAGATGGGGTAGAACTGCCCCTGTGGGTTTCTGACGCTGGAGCGCTTCACAAGAGGAGAAAACCTCATCTTTTTCCCTTGAAGTGGCTGGTAGTTTTGAACTTCTGACCTTGCAGTTGGCACATGCCATCAGGGCTCCTTGGTCCCTTAAAGGGGGATAATATTTAAATATAGACAAGGAGAGGAAAGGAGATAAGTGTCAAAGTATCAGGTATAAGGCATCATCAGAACAAAAAATCTTACCATAGTGAATGATGGGGGGAGTGCGGAGTGGAGACCCAAAGCCCATTAGCAGGCCACTGGAGATCCCCTTGCAGAGGGGTCTTGGGGAGGAGACTAGCCAGTCAGGGTGCGATGTAGCAACGATGAAAAATACAACTTTCCTCTAGTTCCTAAATGCTGCCTCCCCACCTCCACTATCATGATCCGAAATCTACCTTGAAAGTCTGGCTAGACCAGAGGAGGTACACTGGTACAGATAGGAACTGGAAACACAGGGAATCCAGGGCGGATGAGCCCTTCAGGACCAGTGGTGTGAGTGGCCATACTGGGAGGGTAGAGGGAGGGTGGGTTGGAAAGAGGGAACCGATTATAAGGAACTACATGTGACCTCCTCCCTGGGGGACGGACAACAGAAAAGTGGGTGAAGGGAGACGTTGGACAGGGCAAGATATGACAAAATAACAATTTATAAATTATCAAGGGCCCATGAGGGAGGGGGGAACAGGAAGGGAGGGGGAAAATGAGGATCTAATGCCGGGGGCTTAAGTGGAGAGGAAATGTTTTGAGAATGATGAGGGCAATGAATGTACAAATGCACTTTACACAATTGATGTGTGTTTGGATTGTGATAAGAGTTGTATGAGCCCCTAATAAAATGATTTTAAAAAAAAGAAAGAAAGACAGAAAACTGGTTAAACGAGTCCTCTGAGTTTTTGAGTCAGACTAGCAAGGGTAGCTAAATTAAAGCAAAGGTGAGAAGACAGAGTGAAATCTGTATGGGATCCAGATGGAGCGATCTTCTTCATCAGGATGGGAGGGACATGTGCTGGGAGGAGATGAGGCAACGTTGAGAGGCGGATGCAGTGCAAAGGTATAACACATAGGGAAAAATGACTCCTCGTTCGGAACGGAAGCAATTCGATATGATCATCTTCCTTTGTCTAATGATGCCAACGGCACTTAGGCTTTCTCCTTAAGGTGATAGCATCCTCCAGTCAACATTAATCTTGCTATGTAAGCCTTGGCCAATTATGTTCATGGTATTAATGTTTCTCAAAATAAAGTAATTCTTGCTGATCATTAAAATTCTGATGAATCGATTGTCATCACTTTTATACTAAGATTAGCCCTTAACCGGTCTTTCCCACCTAAGGCACGCAAAATTCATTTAATTCATTTAAACACAAAATTGTTTAATTCAGTCTAACTGAAGACTAAGATTTCTTGACTTTTTCTTCTCATCTCTTCTCTATCCGTAAAGTAGCTAGTGAACATTCTCCATGGTGTTCTAACGGAAGCAAATAGTCTCCATAGAACAAACGTTGTACCCTAGCGACAGAGAAGGAAATCTAGTCTTTTGAGATACAGAATCTATAACAATAAATAATTCTTGTTACTTATTCATAATGATTTTTCCAGGAGGATGTATTTCTTCAGAACCACCACCCCAAATTCCAGTCTGTCTCCTTCCAGTAAAGGGTACCTAATGCGGAGATGCACAAAGCACTGAAGAAATAACTCAGCCAGCCCCACCTTCCTGGCTACCCACTGATGGAATTTAGAGCAGTGGGTGCTTTATCAAAGTTGTGTAATAGCAGTAACCACAGTGAGGCTGACCCGACATATTTCAACATACCAAACTTTTCCACTGATATTCTGCACTTAAGAGTGCCAAAGTGTGAAAACAAAAAAATGTTGATTTAAGGAACCCCATCAGTAACTCAATGTCTTACACAGAATATAAAAACACCAATAGAAGCCACAGTATTCCGCTCTGATTCCCCCCAGAGCTAGGATCCCTTTAGAGCAGACTACTGGGAAAGAATGAATCAGCAGCATTGAACTTGGTTTTTCTACAGAGGAAGGAAAGGAAGTCAAGAGTCTCAGTAACAGAACACAATGTCCGTAACATGGTCTAGTATCTTGGTCAGTTGTGCGATGACAACTAGACCAATAGGCAACATCATAATACATGGGGAAAGATTGAGGTTGCCAAGGATTTTGTCTTATTTTACTTGGATGCAAAATCAAGGCCCATGGAAGTAGCAGTCAAGAAATCAAACACGCTATTCATATTGGGCAAATCTGTGCTAAAAGATTTATTGACAAGTGTTTAAAACCAAAGCTGTTATCTTGAGAGCTGAGATGCCCTTAACCTAAGTCGTTGTGTATTCAATTGTCTCAGCTACATACTGGAACTGGGCAATGAACTTGAAGACAAAATAAAATAAGGGGGGTGGGGATTGATGTATTTGAATTGTTATGCTAGCAAAATTACTGAATAGACCATGGAATACCAAGAAAAGGTACAAGCCTATCTTGGCAGTAGTACCGTCAGAATGCTCCTTACATGCAAAGAGGGCAACACGTCACTGTCCCATTCTTTGGCATGTTATCAGGAGGGACCAGGCTCAGAATCATGCTGGACAACACAGAGAGAGGGTCAGTGAGGAAGAGAAAAGCCCGCAATGAGACAGGCTAACACAGTGGCTGCAAAAATGAGCTCAGACTTAGCAACCACCGCAAGCTAGTCCAGATCTGGACAATATTGTGTTCTGTTGTAAATAAGACCACTATCCGTCACAACCAGCTCAACGGCATCTACGAACAATAACAGATCTTTGTCAAAAGGGATGCTGCCATTGGCATCTTCCTTATTTGAGGTCAATTCTTCTACACGTGACGCCACTCTAGCTCCCAAGCCCTACATATCTTAAATTAAAAAAAAAAAAACACCCCAAGTGTCCATAAAAATGACATATAATAATAATTATAAAAGATATACATATATGGTAAAATCAAGTGTTGTTTCAATTTAAGGAGCTATCTAGTTTTATAAAAGATCTGTTGTAGACTTTGTTTAAACAAAAACACTGGAACCGATCCAGGTGCTAAGGTCTGCTCTTCCACTTCTAGCACGGAGCCCTCTGATTCAATTTTAGACAGAGGGACAAGATAACTTTTAGGAGGGAACTCTTTGGTGGCATTATATGAAGAAGCCAAATCGGATTGTCATTGTATTAAGATGACAAAAATCAATAAACAACCAGAAACAAATAAATAACCAATTTTGGCAGTTTAAAATCATACCTATCCCAGAGGAGAAAAAGCTGCCACAAGAATTTAGTAAAGAGTCTTACAAGCATCTCTAAAAGCAATGTTCAATATACTTCTTTCTCCCTAATATATTTCTCGAGGACTAGGACAAAGTCACAAACTGAAAGGGCTAGAGATGCTTTCATGTCATCATTTCCAGTGGTTTCTTTGAACAATTGATCTAGACCACGTATCACCCAACTGCACATGCGTGTTAACGAGAACCCACTTAAATAGGCAAGAAGAGCCACACACCAAAAGAGGTGTCTTCTGTGCTCTTTTCCTTCTTCTCTTGTATATTCTGAGTGCACAAGTCTACACGCGCACACACACACACTCACCATCTGGAGCGTATTTGGAGGAAATCCCTAAAATGACTGCAAGAGCAACAAAAAATGAAAAGCTAGTAATAGCAAAGCAAATGAAAGTATTTTTATGTCTCCTCTGCTTCTGGCTGTCTCTCTGGGTTTGCTGCTCTTCAGGGGAGAAAGCGAAGGTTGCCCGAGCTTCTTGTCTCATGGAGGTAAATTTGGCTGAAGCTTGGCTCTTTGGAGGTGGAGGTGGACGCAATGGAACAACCTTCCCTGGAACGTAACCAGATGAGCAGTAGCTGTTCCCATTCTGAGGTTGTTGGAAAGCAGGGGGGCATCCCCTGGAACCAGTGGCATACATCATACACTGTCAATGCAAAAGAGAAGAGAAATTAACATTCACAAAGGGGTGGATTGTAATGACGTGTTAAAAAGTAAAATCCACATATACTAATATACCGCATTTACCAGTTGCTATGTAATCAATCTGACTTTGTTTCAAAATTCATTCAGAGTGTCAGAGTACTAGTGAGATAGTTAAAGTTTATTGTGCCAACCTGGCCAATGCATACATGTGGGGTTAATTGAAGGGAAGATAGATAAATGGCTCAGTGAGCCTCGCCTTTTGAGTTATCGGGTCTCTTGCTTTCTGATGGTCAGACCAGGGTATAGCTGCCTTAACCAGTTCTCTGCTTCAGCTGGCAAGGCTCACTTCCTGCAAGACATCCCCAAGGAGAAGCCCCATGGACCTACCCCAATGGAGCCCTGGGTGCGTGGAGACCCCTGGGTGCGTGGAGACCCCTGCCAGCAGTGAGATGCTTACACGTTCACTGACTCGGCTTTCCTCCTGCAGTTGGCATCATTGTGTTTGTTTTGTGAGATGGAGGAGGACTTTGTGGATTGGTGTCGGACATATGGGTTAAAGTTGGATTTGAGGGCTTGGGCAGCACTGGGTGGGGATGTTTTCTTGATGTGCACTTACCCTTTATATAAAACTCTTTCTTATACACGAGTTTCTGTGGATTTGTTTCATTAAAGTACCCAGACTAACACAACCAGTGTTCCACACGGTTTCAATGACTGTTTTCAAAACATCTATCTCCAGGCCTTTCTTTGTAGCTATCTCTGGGTGAATTTGAACATCCAGCCTCTCAGTTGGCAGCCATTCATGCTAACTGTTTGCACAAACCTTCCCCCAAACAATTAACTAAATTCACTGGCATCGAGTCAAGTCTGACTCATAGCTAACCTGTAGGTCAGAGTAGAAATGCCCTTGTGGGTTTTCAAGATTCTGTTTACAGAAGTAGAAAGCCTCATCTTTATCCTACAGAGAAGCTGGTGGTTTTGAACTGTGGACCTTACCGCTAGCAGCCCAACACATAACGACTAGGCCACCAGGGGTCCTACAAACTTACCCAGGGAGTCCAAAAGGATAGTATATCCCTGATAAAAACTGCTTGAAAATCGTCTTTAATAATTACCTCCTAATGCCTCTTCATCCAAGCTGTAACCTCACATTATAATCCCTAGCTAGTGCCATATGGAAAAACAATTAAATCATCGAGTCTATGACCCCAACATCAGTGCCTGTTAAATCCTCCCAAAGAGACTTCAGGAAGTCCCTAGTTGAGAACCACTGCTCCGTAGTGGCTAGTCGGATATTTAGTGTGTACAAGAAGGCTGCCTTTGCATTATGGTGTAGACACAGAGAAGGGAATACAGTGAACCCTCGCCACTTCGCGCTTCGACTTCTGAGGCTTCACTCTATCGCAGTTTTTGCGTAACAGAGCATGCTCTGTCATTACTGCCACTGATTGGCTCATACTGTACACGCTTCTGTCTGCATCACTACGTATCGGAGCTACGTATCAGATGCATTTTGAGGAGTTAGTTGGCCTCACAATGGAGTGTCTCTCGCATATCGTAAGAACAATCAAAGAAGTTCAGGACACGATTGAAGAATGGGATCCAGAAATGAGTCGTGCATTACGGTTCCGGAATGCACTCGATGGGACAATGGAACCCTACAAAAACCTTTTCACTGAAATGAAGAGACAACGTCGGCAACTGCCAATCACAATGTTTCTTAAACGTGTACCCAGAAACCCACTGCCTACACCCGCTCCTTCAGAGGAAAAATACGGCGATCCACCTGTAGAGTACATCCCTTAAGTCATTTCATAGGCTATTGATTACAGTATTTGTAAGAACTATGTATAATAATACTGTATGTGAAATATGTAATACTGTAAACTAGATGCCATAAATAATATAATAAATAATAAATGATAATTGTAATGTCCAAAATGTTTTACTGTATTTTCCCTTTTTCGTTTAATAAATTGGGTAATACGAGTGTTATGGTGACTAAAGGGTGTTTTTTCATGTCCTCTATGCTCTAACTACGAAAATATTTGATTTACAAATAAGGAATCCTACTTCGCGGAATTTCATTTATCACGGTAGGGTCTAGAACCGATTAACCGCGAGAAACGAGGGTTCACTGTAAACCAGGGACTGCCCAAAGAATAAACACATTTGTCTTGGAAGCCTGGCAGCCAGAATGCTCCTGGGAAGTCAGACTTCAGCTCAAGTGCTTTAGACAAGTCACCAGGAAGGACCAGACCCTGGAGAAGAAAGCGCATCCTGCTTGGCAACACGGAGGGTCAGCAAGAAAAGGGAGGGCCCCGGTGAGGTGGCCCGAGTCACAGCAATGGTGCTCGGGTGACGCAAGTGTAGGCAGCACTTCCTGCTGCTGTGACCCTGGGTCACTCTGAATCGGAACGGGCCCAACAGCACCTAACGACAACCCAGCAACCACTGGAGAAGCCTGGCCAACCAGCAGTTGTGGTTCTGGCTCATTTGGCCTAAAGAGGGTTCTGGGTTTCATCTTTCTGGTGTTGATTTGCGACTTGGGAGAACCCGCATGGTACAGAGTAGAACTTCTCCACCAGGCTTTCTTGATTGAAATCCTTAAGTATGAAGACGGCCAGGTCAGCTTCTTTGGTGGGATGTGTGCAAACCACACCTTTTGGTCTTCCAGCTGAGCACCAACGGTGTGAACCACCCAAGGACCTTGCCTTTCTAGTTTAAAGGCACTGTGCGGTCGCACCAATGCAGGTGGTGTCATCCTGAAAACCTGTACGCCACTCTTTTCAAACGGAAGTTAATCCCACGCGTCATCTAAAGACCACACAGGGGACTAAAATTCTCAAACACACGAACCTTTGTGTTTAGGTGCGTAGCATTTATTTCTTGGTTCAGCAATCCAAGTATTGCTATATAGATCATCACTTACCTAAAGACTCCCGTGGGAAACCTTAAAGTATATTATCTCTTTACATCCTCAAATTTCGTACAGCAAACAGTAGACCTTCCGATATTAAACAAAAAAAGCTAACTCTCTTCTGCTCCTGGCATTCTTCCAAACATCTTACATGTAATTTCTTCATAGCTTAAAATTAACTTAATACTTGGATTGCCAACCACAGCATCAGCAGTTCAAACCCACCAGCCAAGGCTGGAGAGATAGCTGAGGCTGTCCACTTCCATAAAGATTTACAATCTTGGAAACCAAAAGGGGAAATTCTACTCTGTCCTACAGGATCTCAATGAGTTGGAATCAACCTGACAGCAAGGTGGAGGAGTCTGGTTACTTTATACACCGAATCTATCCGCAGGTGTTCTTAACCTCATTTTACATAGGAGGAACACTGAAGTCTAGAAAGGTGAATTAACTTCCTAAACGTTCTCTCTCCCAGTCCAAGAAGAACAACCAAACCCGAACCACGCGTGGTCCAAGAACTAGAATGTAGTCTTTTGTCCTAGGGGAAATTGAACACCAGGTGATAGGTGGGCAGAAAGGTGATTTTATTAGGCACATGCAGCAAAGGGAAAACCATGAGAAATGGGCAGACATGCCATCAGAACGATGTCTGTCATTCTGAAGAATATTATAAACCCAACAGGATGCATAAAAAGGAAACACCAAGAGACGCTTCAACCTTCCATAACCAAACCAGAAACCCAAGTCACGGCCATCACATCGGTGTCGATTCCTATCCACCCAACAGGACTCGGGAGAACTGCTCATGTGAGTTTCCGAGACTGTAACTGTTTACACAGAATGGCCGACTGGTGGTGTCGACCTTGCAGATCACAGCCCCGTTCATAACCACTCAGCCACCGAGGTTACTCAGCCTTCCGTAGATAGGCTAAAGGCCATGGAATCGTGGTGGCTGTCTTTCAAATGATCATGGATACAAGTTTGCAGGAAAAACAGGCAGGAAGGGCCTCATGGTTCTCACAAGGCCACAACAGAGAAGACAAAAGTGTGTGTCTCTCTGTTCTGAAAAGAATGTGCCCAAGCCATGTTCCCTAGTCCTTTGCGTGAGCGCCAGTTACTCTGCCCTTCCTGGGGCTCCACACTCACCCAGATTTATCCTGGTCACTGCCTCTCCCTTTGCCCCAAACGGTCAAAGTCACCTTGGCAGTTCAGTGGTCAGAGTGTGTAAAGAACTCGAGATGGCTGGCTGAACTTCTATTAAGGCTCAAGATGAAGTTAGTGCTCTAAAATGCTTTCAAAAACAGTGGAGGGGCAAGTCACGGTCTTAGTGGCTGGCAGCACTAGGCTGGCATGCCAGCGTCAGAGAAGGAGAGATTTTATATGAAATCCAGAACAGAGAAATCTACTGAATTAACAGTACCCAAGAAGCAGTGGTGAGAAACAGGGCGCTTCCAACTATGAGCACAAGAAAGAGATGTTCTAAATCTGCCTGTGGTGATGACTGCCCATCCTTTTCCATAGGATTGCACTATAGAACTGCTAACACGGTTGAAAACAAAGAAGAGATTTTACTGAAAAAATTATTGCATTTCATGAAATGGAAAAGCCATACCTCTTTAGGAGGACAATGCACCAGTCCCCTCCCTCTTGTGAGAAGAAGTCAGTTTTGACTTGTTAAAAAGCAAACAAGAGATTTCATAGCAGAGAGAGGAATGGTGGGGTGGGGGCTGGGGGGATTACACAGAGCTGGCAAAGTGAACCTTTCCAACAACTCCCAGCAAAACATTCACTCGTCATCTCCAGACACAACTGGACAAAGACTAAATGTCTAAAACCCACCACGCCAACTTCTTGCCGTGGGGGTCCTGTGGCTGCGGATCAGGCCAGTTCTGCGTCCTTCGTGTGGCAACAGCAGGGGAAGAACAGGCTGCATCAACTCTAATCGGAAGCCTCTGAAACAAAAACAGGGTTCGCTTGGCCAACAGGAAGCAAACATTGCTCAGGCAACTTCCCCTGGTGATTCAAGAGTCAGGTGAGCCTGATGGAACCGATGAAACAGACAACGGTCCTCTAGTTAAGTGCTTCTCAACCTGTGGGTCGAGACCCCTTTGGGGGGGTCAAATGACTCTTTCACAGGGGTCGCCAGATTCATAACAGTAGTAAAATTACAGCTATGGTTGGGGGTCACCACAACATAAGGGACTGTATTAAAGGGTCATGGCATTAGGAAGGTTGAGAACCTCTGCTCTAGTTCTTTACTGCTTCCTCCCCACCATCCCCCACTATCATGACCCCAATTCTACCTTACAAATCCGGCTAGACCAGAGCATGTACACTGGTACAGAGAAGAGCTCTTGACACACGGAATCCAGGACAGATAAACCCCTCAGGACCAATAATAAAAGTAGCGATACAAGGAGGGTAAGTAGAGGGTGGGGGGAAAAAAGGGAAACCGATCACAAGGATCTACATATAACCCCCTCCCAGGGGGACGGACAACAGAAAAGTGGATGAATGGAGACATTGGTCAGTGTAAGACATGAAGAAAATAATAAGTTATAAATTATCAAGGGGTCATGAGGAAAAGGGGAGTGGGGAATGAGCTGATATCGAGGGCTCAAGTAGAAAGAAAATGTTTTGAGAACAATGATGGCAATAAGTGTACAAATCTGCTTGCCACAATGGATGGATGGATTGTGATGAGTTGTATGAGCCCCCAATAAAATGATTTTTTTAAAATCAGATAAATAACTCTTCCTCTAGGTTAGAAATTCTGCTGCTGCTTTGTTACGGCAGCAAGGACACCTTTGACAGGGAAAAGGGCTGCCTGGCTCTCTTCAGAAAATTAGAAATGATTTA